ATCGGAGATATGGAAGAGGATAACAGAAAACCTTGGAATCAAACGGCGCATGAGCACAGCATTCCACCCGCAGATAGATGGGCAAACGGAACGGATAAATGGCATATTGAAACAATACCTATGGGCCTATGTCAATTACCAACAAGATGATTGGAGCAAATGGCTACCAATGGCTGAATTCGCCTACAACAATGGAAAACAAGAAACTATCAAAACAACCCCATTCTTCGCAAACTATGGCCTACATCCGGAACACGAAAGGATAGGTCATATGCTCCAAGGAAAGATAATGGACGGAAAAGACATGAATCAATTACACGACATATTACAAACTGAAATGGTCATGGCACAATTACGACAGAAAGAAAACTACGATAGCCACAGAAAACCCGATCCAAACTTAAAGTCAGGAGATATGGTTTGGTTACTGCCACGGAACATTAAAACCACACAACGAACAAAAAAACTAGATAACAAGAAAATAGAACCATTCAAGATCTTGCTAAAAATAAGAAGCCGCGCTTATAAGCTCGACCTTCTACCGTCAATGAAAATACACAACACCTTCCACATCAGCCTCCTCGAACCCTATCAAGACAATCCTCTACCATCTCAAAAAAAAAACCCCCCACCGCCTATTGAAATAGACAGTGAATCAGAATACGAACTTGAAGAAATGATCGACTCTTGATTACACTACGGTCACTTGTAATACAGAGGGAAGTAGACTGGATACTCTCCCGAACACGATAAAACCTGTTACCCAGCCGAAAACTTCGAACATGCACAAAATGCAGTCCACCAATTCCACTAACCATAGCCACACAAACAAACAGCCAACTGTCGAAGGCATACCCAGCTCAGGGCATGTAACGCCCACACTACATCAGACAGACTCCTACCATTGGGAATATCCCCAGAAGAGAGGTGCGATGCCGATACCGTCGGTCCTCCAAAACATCCCAGAACGCGGCGCATTCAAACACATCACTCCAACCAGTCTGGGGTATCGTACCCCAACACCGGTCGAGGAAGAATGGAACAACGAAGAATGGACCAACCTAGCAGACCTCAATTTGAGGAAGAAAACGACCCCAGAAAGGGAACACGCGAACCTGTCATGGACAGGTTGCTACGATGACGAGTGCCAAGTGCACTCTATGGAAAAGGAGGGCTCGGGATACTGGCCTCGGGAGACGAACAGATGGCAACCGAAGACCTCACCCGTGGGATCACCAACGAGATCCCCGACCCGGGAGCCAGTGGCTCTAGTACAATACATCCAACCGACTCCGAGGACCGAGTCAAAGAGGAGGGTGGCGAAAAAACAGAAATGGGCAAGACCCAGGAAGGCGGGGCATGTCTCTTGGGAGGAAGAGATCTAGAAAGAAAAACCGGAAACGATGATAATGAAATTGTTGGCGGAAGCGGCAGAAACGAAAAAAGTGATGGAATGGCAGGTGGAAAAAATAGGACAACTCCAGAGTGAGCCAAGGGAGGAAACGAGGATAAGGAAGGCACTCCAGAACGACTGGAGAAGAGAAGAGAAGGAGGCGGAAAGGGCCCTGACGAGAGTCTGGAAAGTAAGCACTTGGTTGAACAAGGAAACCAAGTGGGGACTGGCAGCAGACAGGGCATGGGGATTGGAGGAGAGGTTGATGTAAGCCCGATGGTACTCGGGCTGAGGGAGAGAGAAGCTAATGTCACAAACTGTGACCAAGCAAAGTAGATCTTAGATAGCTCACAATTTCGAGCTATAGGTATGTTGGGATTTCACATGACGCACACTAGTGCACCATAGGTTATTATGTTTATCTGTTCGTGACTCACAGTTGTGAGTCACATGATGTTATGATTTTCGCACATAACTTATACTTATGAGTCATGGGTTTCACTCAGGTGACGCGAGTTGCACACCTGACTTCATTATTATATTTTGATTGGTTTTAGGCATGTTGCGCAGCGACTCATAGGAGTCAGCTGATAGATTTCGCATGACTCATAGTTATGAGTCACAAGGTTCGCGTGATGCATAAGTATGAGTCATGCCAGCTGAAGAGCTACTATATAAAGGGTCACTAGGACCCCTAGTATTAGCTCTTTACACGTTCTTCTTGTTTATTTCCTACCTTCAAGTTATTATCAATAAAACCTACCTTTACACTCTTTAAGATTTATCTTAAGAAACCCAAGAATTGTCTTTCCTCCCACAAGGAGAGATTAAGTCCTAAGTAAGAACTAAGGAGAAGAATAAGAAGATAGGCGCGAACAAGATAGTAGTCATAGGACTGGACTATCGGGAGCGCGTAGGCACAGGCCTGAGAACTATCACCTTACATCGAGAGAAGTATCGTTACCTGTCGCTCGGTCCTACTCGGTAGGATTTTTAACACACACCTAGGCTTCTTTGTCCCAAAAAAGGCTTATTGTAAGGTTACTCTGTGGCAGGAAAAGGAGATGAGAACTTGTAGTTATGTCTTTGGCTGTTCTGGTGGTTGCATTAAGACAGCCTAATGCTACACAAATGCAGCCTTTGAAACGTGCCCTGGCCTGGGTCAGCTTGTTGTTTGATTTCAGTTTGATGGTCCAATACCGAAGCTATACACCTGAGACTATAGACTACATGGAACAAGATCTCAATTAGTTTCACTCAATAAGGATGTTTTCCTTGAATTCTGGGTTTCTAAAGGGACATGGGCAAAAGTTCAGAACCAGCAGAGGGAACTGCAAAATTACAGAGTGCAGAGTATACAACCACATATGAAAGCTTGACATCATCAGATCCAGGACAAGGAGCGCTGCATGGAGAATGACCAGCACAGGGATCTGATCCATACAGAATTACATTTTAGCTTTATCAAGATGCATCTATTGGACCACTTCCGAGAACACATATACTAGTTTAGCAACATTCCAATGTATTCTACCAAGTTTGGTGAACTGGCGTATAAAGAACAAATTAAAGATGGTTGGCAACGTTCATATAAGAATGATGCCATACAGCAGATCCTGTACAGCTATGGCTGCTACCATGCAATGCAAATGGGACACCTGAACCTGGATTCCCTTCAAAGGCACAGAGTACCTATCTCAGCCAAGGTAGTTGAACTTTGAGACACAGCGGGTCTTAATTCAGGCATGTCACATGCCATAGGATTCTCAAGGAAAAAAGCACTGGCATATTGTGTGCTTGGATAATTTTTGCCAGGTCTTAGGCATCTCATGTGATAGCATGTATCACAAAATGATTCAATACAGCTGGCAAAGTCTGACTGCAGAATACCAGCTTCCCAATGATCCAGCTGAACTTAAACTATTCTCTGTTGAGTTACAAAAGCAACTTGAAATACCTGTCCTGGCCTTTCAGGAAATGGACGTTTATAACATCCACCAGGTACGATCTACCAGCAATGAACTCTTCCAGAACCAGGTAAGTCACAATAATTGAGTTTGGCTACAAGCAGTAGGGGAGCAAATGGATGGTGCACTACATGGGCATCTCCTAGGGAAAATCATAATGCTCTTCGAAATGGGTGACCACAGGCACAATGAGAAGGTATACCAGCTAGCCAGTATGCAGGGTGCCCATCTGAGTTTCATGAGCTTGTCACCCAACAGCTAAGGCCAGATGCGCGAAGTTTTACAATAGTGGACATTGGGACGATTATAGCGCTGGCACAACTAATCCTGGAGTCTGACCAGTAATGGCTTGTCAATAGTCGAATTGACTTGAGGATGTTCCATAAGATTTATTAAGTAGTTGTACAAGAATAGGGATTTTGTAAAGCACAGCGCAGACTCAGGATTGCCAATGGAGCCAATCTGAGATATCTGAGTCACCACCTTGCCAGGGCAGGAGATCAAGCAACCAGAATAATCCCAATCGTGCACCGAGCCCTCATACCTGGTTGGTCAGTAACATAACAGAAAGTCCAGGCTAAGACGACGCCAGTAGATCATCCTAGCCCAGACTCTAAAACAGTGCATTTCTATAGACAGGTTACAGAACTTAAGAAGAATAAAAGCCAGAGGGGCTTAATTGAAAGTAATAGTAGTACAGATTAAGACTGCGCCAGGGAAGGAAAGGGTTAACTTAAAAAGTAAAAGCCTAGAAGCCTGTCAGGCCGGGGGTGTAACTGGATGCACCAAGGCATGCCGACAGGACTCCTAGCACATGGGATCAGGGGTGAAGTTGAGGCTGAGATCTGAATGCCTAGAATGTGGCAGGATATTGCGCCAGCGATCTGGACACCCAGGATAGGGCAGGGTATTGCATCAGGGATTCAGATGCCCAGGATGCGGCTGGGTGTCAAGCTCGATCCCAGGACGGGAAAGAAAGTACATGTGCATCAGGATGCAGCACCCAGGCGTCAGATACAAGCGATGTTTTTGCTGATGCGTGAGACTTAAGAGCAGAGGTGAAGTGTGTCCACTCCCAAAGGGCTATACCTGGAGGCTAGCAGACAGAGGAGAGTAGTAATACTAAGTAAGGAAACTTGTAGTATTGAGATTTTAATTACTTCAGGTGTATTGGAAACAGAAGTTCACTAATGCTGAAGGAGGGTCTCCTGTATATTATAATGTATATAGAATTAAAGTTGAAAAAAAAAAGAAAAAACACCTGATATTTGTCTATCTCCAATTCTCATTACTGAATATCACTCGTATTCCCCCTTGGTTGTAGCTTATATATAAATACCCTATCCGTTTTCGTAGTACTCCCGATATCTGGCTACCCCAGAGTACTCGCACTTGCACTGCATCAAATCGGACGATGGAAAGCTCTGCTGTAACTTGAACTTAAGTTACAGTATAACTTAATCATCTACTAGTAACGCAGGATCTACGAGTACTATATACCCGTGACGCCATGACATCATCGTGCTCATAAGGATCACGTAACTCATGAAGACTGAAGCACCGACTCGGTCCGGGATTGCCGTGAGTTACTGTATTATATGCTGCAAAGTGTTTAAAGGTGGTGACGGCAATTCCGTTGCTACCAATCCCGGTTGTGCCAAGACAAGACATGATGAATCAAGTAAAATGATTAGATACACTACCTAGGAATGAGCGGAATAGTAGATAAGACAGAAATAAAAGGAATCACATATAAAGTTATTAATGAACAATATTCTTGTACTTGTATACCAGACTTTCAGGCTCATTTTTGTTGATCACTTACCTGTCTTAGTCATCCATCTACCACAGTATTTTTTGTCATGTCACTAGGTATATTCTATCACTTGTTTCCCTCTCACACAAATTTTCACTTTTCATTCTTGAACTACCGTACTCTTTTGTACAACACTTGATTAAGAAGAAAAAGCACTGGCCTCTTCTCCCCCAACTTTCTTCCTTCCAGTGTTCCCTTCCTTTCTAAATTCCTTGTTGTGGTTAACTAGTTTGGGATCGGATTTGGCCTGTTCTGAGGACCCGGTTTGAGCCCATTTCCACCATACTCTCTCCCATGGTATTGTTGGCTTAAAATTTCGACTAACCCCCGCACTTATCGATAAGCGAAGCGAACGAACCAACCAGCACCCACCTTCATTATCATATTATCACACTGGTGCCGGTAGTCCACCCGTGCAGTACTCGTACATACCCACCACACCACAAACGCCGCATGAACTTCCCTTGCCGGATTAACTCACCGATACCGCCCCCGTCCCACCACGGCTTCCCCCATCTCACCCAACAACCACGACAACCTTTTAGCAGATCAACTCACTATGGCCGATAAGTTGGGTCCCGTCCGCGAGCCGCCACAGGAGATGAAGTCAATCAGGCAATTTATCCACCGGGGGAATCAATTGAGGAGTGTTGATCCTGTTATTGCTTATTACTGTTGCCACCCCGCCCCCTCCCCCTAACCCGAGAAACCAGCCCCTACTAACACGACGGGGGTGGAGAAATACAGGCTACTTCTGGTCAGTCAAGCAGATCCTCGCAAATAATTTGCATCAGGCCAGTACCGCGTGCACGACATGGACTGCGGATTTGATGGACGAGCTGGAGAGGGTATCTTCTTGTCTACCTACGAGTATCAGCGCTTTAGGAACAGGGCTGACGGGAGTAGCGAAAGGAAGAGCTGAAGGATAAAGATATTATTGGCGACGATGTGGCGGCGCAGGCCTACGTGGAGAACTTCGCGTTAAAGATATTTGAGAACGGTGCAAAAGTTGTTGCCGCTGGGAAGGCTACCAGGTGCGCATGTTCTGTCCCACTTGGCTGTTGCCTCTAAGTTAACAATGGGTGCAAAGCACGACGCGGGATACGCTTTTAGCGGCGGTATGCTTTCTTGAGCTTGTCAAGATCTTTGCGGAACCGGATGCCGAGGTTTGTTGCACTATGACACCCGACGGTCTAGCGGCAGGCAGTGCTGACAGGAGCAGATTCAACAAAAGATCAAGTTCGCCAAGTTCCATGCCGCACGGATCTGGAAAGCTGTCAACCTTGGTCAGGATCCTAACCCGAGCACTTCCGAACCTATGGCTCCTGAAGCCTACAGTTCACAACCGCCGCCGCCTCCAATGGCCGAGGACGAAGTCCCATCATTACTACCGTCTCTTCCACAGGCTCCTATGATTTCTCCCCCAGCCCCACAAGTTCCTTCACCCCGAGCAGGAGAGCAAGAACCCGGGCGATCCTACTACTCTCGATCCCCGCCAATTTCCCCCCATCCCCCCCCATCACGTCCAATGTCACGGGCCCCACCACCCGCGCTACCAGAGATACGTACGTCCAATACTTCCAGCGAATACCCCCCACAAGTGCCTATTGTCCACGAGCCCAGCGCGCCAAGTCTCTCCCCATCAACAATGAGCGCCGCGAATACTGGATTCCCAGAAATGCATGCCCAACACCTATTAAATATCCACTATCCTCCCTCCGCACACGGCTCAGCTCCCCCGGTACAAGGCCAAGAACAAGATTACAATACCAACCAGCCCGCAGGTTACTACTCTCAACTACCAGTACCAACCCAACAGCGACCGATCCCAACACTGTCCCAACCAGCCATGAAAAAACATGAGCCAACGGAGGAGGATATCCTCCGGGCTCAGAAACACGCGAAATGGGCGATTAGTGCACTTGATTACGAAGATATCGAGACGGCGATAAAGGAATTCCGACTGGGGCTCGAGCGATTAGGTGCACTATGAAGTGTAGATTGGTGAGTCTTGATAACGAAGCTCTGGCCCACCCAACGGTATCATTTCATTTTCAATCAAAAACTCTTTCCCCAACGCGAAACGCTTGTTTTTATCTTAGCTGTGTGAGCTACATTTTGGCGAAAGAGGGTGGGATCGCGCCAGGCTTTCCGTGGATAATAGACCACAGCCCGCTGTCATGAAGTGTGCGCTTCGCACTTATTGTCCATGTGGCAGAAATTATGATATTCTTCTGGTGCGTTTGTCACGGATTATCTGTCGGTGTGCAAGGATCCAAGCAGCCATGGGATCTCACTCGAGAAAAGCTTTGGTTTTCGAACGGCAATTTCACCTAGAGCACGATTCAATAAATTTCAACCCTTTTAACTTTGAGCCCCTTACTGTATTGTAAGAACCGATACCCTTTAAATCACTTTGCCTTTTCATGTGAGTCTAGCGCACACAAAAACGGTCAATGCTTCTTTGTGACTTATGATACTCGAGCGCTTCATAGCACCATTTCCCCGGGCTCGGACGACGGCCGCAAGGTCTATTAGACCTATCCAGCACTCAACTGAACTTGAGCAATCCTCGGACTTTGGGCAAAGCATACATATAAAGAAAAATTCGAGGAAAAAATTACTGGGGTACCAGAAACATAAGGTAGTGATTTTTCCCCACCGATAGTCATCGTCATTGTTATGATCTATGTCTATCGCTCCGCACATTTGCACTTCTTATCTACTTTGCGATCAGTATTAGACTATCACCTATTTGGAAACGCCTCGACACTGAAAATACTTTCGATCGCCCCCCCCCATAGCCCACGATTCAAAATGATCTGGGTGGTGTAGACCACATCCCACATCCTCCATCGTGTCTAGACATACCTCTACATCTTCTCGTCTCGTCTCGTAGCGTACCATTTTGAGACCCATTCTTCCTGGCGTCATATCTCGCGATGTTGATTAGACTACCTCCTTACCCTACCCGCTCGTTGCTTTACTTTACCTTGGGCTCGTCCCTCTGGGTTCTACAGACTATAACAACTCCTTATCGCTCAGCAGGTGGCCGCGGTGTTTAGATCGCAGTACGGAAAACCGGGAATATTGGCTCAGGTTAACTCAGCCCGTGGTATGAGAGGGTGCGTTGGGTATGGAACTAGGGCGTTATGTAGACTACCGTCAAATGTCCACGCAGATTCCACGTAAAAGTACAGTACTAGGGCAGAAGTTTTGGCGCGGTCCGTAAAGTACCAGCCAAAATACAGCAAAATAAGGGAAATAAGAGCCTTACAATATTGACTATGCCACAAGCACCTCAGTACCAAAGATTACCAAACCTTTGCTCCAGGTACTCAGAGCCTCAGTGATTCAGTCAATATCACTTTAGCTGTGATCAATTGTGGATTGGTCCATGCACTGGCAAGTAAAGGGAGAGTTGCTGAATTAGGAGTGCCAAGCCTTGCAATTTTTGTGGAAGCCCAGACAGATAGGTACTTAAAAATTTTAACTTATTGTGATTTTCCAAGAACCACCAACAATGCAATAAGAGTCTGATTTGGTTAAAATTTCAATATTATGAAGCCAAGATGTGCCCCCAATATCTAAAGGTGGTAGATACTCAACTGAGGTGGAAATGGGTCTTTTGTGTGGTTACAATAGCCACTTTTGGTGTAAAAAGGGCGATACGCCAAAACTTTTGCCTCCCTAATTTACCATACTCAAGCACTTGTACAGGTCATCACTACGCTGCTCTTTCCGGGTCAGGATTGTCAGGGATAGCGGGATTCGGATTGAGCAGTTAATAGATATTGAGCATGCTCAGCTTGTGAGTCACAAGGCGCCGGGGGGATAGGGGACCAAGCTTGTATGATACGAGTAGAAGCAAACGGAGCGGGCAGAAGACTGAACCCTTTGAGGGTAATTAGCGGCGCTATCAATATATCAATGTACAGTAGTGTGCTTTTGGAGGCCTACTGCGAAAGTGTAGACTACGGTAGGGGAAATAGATCAAGGCAGTTATCCCAATGCGCAACCATGTATCATATATATTATAAAGTTAATCCAGTGTATTATATTACAAAGTGTCTGCACACCGAAAGTACCCGTATCATAGCTAGGGAAAATTTTCCTCCCCTACTATGAACACCTTTAATCACGTGATCTCGACCCAGCTTCCCCAGCCTGCCTCCACCCAGACTAACTCAACGCCTCTCCCGCGCGAGATCGTAAAACCACTCACCGACCCTTCAGCGTCCGACCCCAACAATGGTCCTCCTAGCAGAACTCCTTGCAGACCTAACATCTCTAAGAACATTCGTAACCCTTCCCCTTCTTCCCCTTTTCCGTTCCCTCCCTATTATACTGACGCAATCCCCCCAGAACACATCCGACGCCCTCTCCCTCGTGAACTCGCCCGACACGAACATGACAGAGCCCACGGACCAGGAATTCTCGCGTGTGAGGGAGTTTCTCGCGTTACGCCTTGAGCAACGGGTGCATGGGGACCTGATTGCCAAGCGGAGGAGTGTGGCGGCGGTGCTGGAGAGGTTTGAGAGATGAGGGGTAGGTGGGATGCGGTGTTCTGCACCTTAAGGTAGCTCCAGTGATGGATGGGGTACTGTAGACTAGACTTATACATGCATCATATGAGGCTTACTTCTCCCTGATCGTTCGCTCAAGTTGTCTACTTTAGTATGTACAAGCTCGTAATACAGAATTACTAAGTCTTATGTCTCGGTTTCCCCTGGTAGCGACAGTGGTGGGGAAAAAAAGTAGTACTAGTAGTAGTAGTACCGTAGTGGTAGCACTGCAGTCTATCAACACAAACCCCTAACCCTGATTCCGATCTAATTTGATGATAACATGTAATGTAAGACCAGGAAAGAAAAGACAATAGAAACCTCCCCAAGAAAGTAAGCACCGCCCGAACCGAATGAGGGTGTGGAATATTTCCCTTTCCTCCATGCTAGCCCCTTAGGCTTCCTTCTTCCCCTTAGTCTCTGGGCTCGCAACCTTCTCGGCTGCTGTTTGGAGTTCTTCCGCCTTGACATCGGTCCCGGTGCTCTCTGAAGCACCAGGAGTGGATGCTTCCCCCTCGTCAATGTTCCGATCATCCTTCGATGCCTTCTTGGAGGCTTCTGAAGCGGACTCAGAGCTCTGCTCGTTCTCCTCCTCGATAAGCTCTTGCTGTTCCCTCAATACCTCAAGTCTCTGCTTATTGGTTGCGGCTCCCTCCAGAGTGTTGACCTCGAGCTCAATCTCGTGGTAGAGCTCCTCGGGTATGCTGCTGAGTACGGCAACAAGTGCGTCAAACTGAGAATCGATCTCACTCTCCTTGCCTTGAGCATACACAAATGCATTTGACAACACCAATAATGTAGACGGAAGACCGTGCTTCAATCTAAGCTCGAGCCAGGTGTTGAGATCATCTCGTAGACGGCTGGGGCTAACGCCATGGGTGCGGATACCGCGGGAAGCGCATGCAGTTTGAAGCTCAGGGACCGAAAGCGAATCCACTCCTTCATAGGAGATGGCGCGGTCATCCCGCTTAATCTGCCGCATCCTATGCCTAATATTGTAGCGCAACATAGCATCGGTTCCAAAAGTATTGAGATTCATATATCGGCACATTCCAACCAATTGGGGCCTTGAAAGATTGTCCAAAGTGACATCGTCCCTAAAGATCTTACAGACTTTGATGAGATCCTCCCGGCTGGGGGATTCGCCGCTCGATCGGATCTATATGATTGGTAAACACCCGTAGAACCAGATTTGTTAGGGTTTAATTACCTTCTTGAAGAACTGTGTGAATTCCTCCCGCCGCCTGGTTTTGGCACTCAACGGAATACCACTCTCTCGCAAAGTCTTGCGGAGAAAATCGGATACGTCCCGCCTGGTTGACCGGAGTTTGCTAGACTTCAACTCCTTTGCCTTCTGGTCTTCGTAGGTACTTGGCAGAAGATTGGGAAAGACTTTAAGAGCGATCGGCAAGAAGAGTTCACCGGCAGGAACGATAATAAAAACTGAGAAAGGAACAAGACGGCCTAAATCTTTGACTGTTCGCTCGAGCTATAACACCACTCTCAGACATGGGGGCTCGTTGAAACAGATAATTTAAAACTCTTACCTGACGGCGTTCGCGACGACTCAACTCATACCCAGCAGCCATCTTCAATGCTAAGTTTGAAGAGATCTTTATCTCTGCACCCAATAGCTTTGTTCCATCCCAGAAATGTTGCACACCATGCTTAACCTTCTGCCAAATAGTAGCTTTCTTTTCCTCACTCCTCTCCTGAACGCCACTCTCATTCACTGTGGTAGCAGCTGTCGAGCCCTCGGTCTGCGTAGCTTCCGCACCCTTCCTCTCTAATGCGGGAGCTTCGACACCGCTATTACGGGGAGCAGCCGCGATTTCCGGTTTTGCGGAGGGTTTTGCGGCGGCTATCTCACGGGGAACCGGCTTACTGGCTCTCTTGGGGTCGAAACCCGGCGGGGGAATAACAGGACCGCCGACTCCGGCTGTGGTTGTATCGGTACTCAGATACTTCTGAGAAGCAAGGATGACGATAGCTGGTTGATATCGGGCAATCTGGGAATGCAGAAAACCCTTACGAGAACATAGCCCGAGCGACGGTCGAAGGCAAGCGCGCCGGGCTTTATGGGTCGAGTTAGTAACTGTGAACAAAAGGCGCAGAATGTTCGGAACAGAGAATTACCCGATGGCGCTATGAGCGAGCGCTGCCTGGTCGAATTGAAGGCTAGCCTCGTTGAATTCATAGTGTGAAGATTCTTACCGGGGGTCTGATAGAGAAAGGGGAATGGTAGGACGCAGTACTACGAGAGGAATAAAATTGGTAGGAATAAAATCGGTGGAAACAAAGACGAAAAGTCCTTTCAGTAAGGAAGGGATAGGATCCAGGACGAGCAAACAGCGGAGCAGCGAGGGGTTGCGTAGCTTGATGTTGAGGATGTGTGGATGGGACGACAAAGGTTCCTCTCTAAAGTACGGTAGACGGGGGTCTCATGTTGGACAGACAGGGGTTGCGGGATCCTGGGACAAAAGGATTGTTTTTCCCCTTCCAGAGAGCCCTTTTCAGGAGAGCGGTTACCGGTAGCGTACCATACGGTCCATACCGTAAGATACCGTACCCGTACCATATGTCATACCGTATAATACGACACGTTTGGAGGTGGAGTCCTGTTATCATCGGCCACATCAAGGGGCTGGACTCATGTCGTTCCTCCCTTTACGCGTTACCGCTTAATTTTTCAGCACGGACTGATGGTTGCGTCGAGCGCCATGAGGATGATGTCCGTGGACCATCAATCTTCCTTGTAGTCTAGGTCTTCGTGGTGATGGTAGACACCAATAGACCACAGTGGACCAAACACTTTCATGATCACACAGCAATATGTCCACTCGTGTCATAATATTATCATGCAGTACAGAAGTCCATCGAATTATATTCATTCATTCCGACATTTCTGTTATGACTTTCCCCGCTCCGAGCTCCCTCCATTTACGCTAGCACCATACGAGTACCGTATCTGAGGTCTGAGTTGTTCATACCGCCCACCGTGGCACACACCCCCGATCTTTAATCCGGTACCAAGGTATCGGTATCCTGGATGCTGCGGCAATTGATACGGGACGGAAACCTGATAGCTATCGTTCATTTTGATAATTTTATTAGGATAAATGACATCGACTTCCTCTGAACATGAAATTGAACCTCGCGATGGAAGGGTAGATACAGTATCATACAACCGGACAGACGAGCAAAACATCTTTCGACGCATAGGGAAAATCCTCAATAGCAGTATAGGCAGGGCGCTCGGGGAAAAACAACTACACACACATAGTCTCAATAAGAACTTGTCCGCAGCGGGCCCAACACATGTTCACATATTCGAGAGCAGTTTCCACAAACCACCGACAACTCTCCCCCAGCTTTCCCCGTACGCTAGCTCGATCAACCCTACATCACACGTAGGTTAGTGAGCAATCTTTAATTAGATGGCAAGAACTCAAGGCGCATGCATTCATACCTTTAGTGAATCGCCAGGCTCTGTTGCCGTCTCTGATCGGATAATCAACAACTGGGGGAATAGCAGTTTTGATCAATCGGGGAAACCGATCCTCACAAACCGCCTTAACATTGCAGACGGCTCTCATACCCTCCACGCCAGCAAACCTACCATACCCAGACCCTCTAACTCCTCCGAAGGGCAATGACTGGTTCAGATAATATACCCCAAAGTCATTGACAGACACCATTCCGCTCTTAAATTCTTTCACGACACGATCGAGATTTTGTTTGTTCCTTCCAAAAACTGAACCACCAAGACCGTACTCAGTCGAGTTTGCCAGGTGGATAGCATGTGTAACATCCTTTGCCCTCATGAGAACGCATATAGGGGCGAAAGTTTCGTTCTGGGCGATTAGCATATCCTCGGTTACGTCGACGAGAAGTGTGGGTGAGAAATAATGACCCCGAGGGTATTTTGGGTGAATCAGCCTTCTACCACCAACCAAACATCTAGCACCTTTTCTGACAGCGTCCTCAATCCAAGATTCCAATTTGTCAAACCCAGCCGCGGAAACCATAGCGCCACAATCGACTTCATCGCCGTCGAGGACAGATCCTGGCCGGATTTTCTTGATCCTTTCTTCAAGTATTCCGACGAGTTCCGAATATACTTCTGGGAGGACCACTATCCTTTCAATGCCGATGCAGTTCTGAGAAGCGCTCTGGAACACACCACGCATAAGAAGCGAGGATAGCGCTTTAATATTTGGAACGTCGTCAAGAATGATAGCCGCGTCTTTACCACCCAATTCAATACACAAGGGGGTCAATGATTTAGAAGCGGATGCAGCCACGCGATGGGCAACTGGGCGGGATCCAATGAAAGTGATATGAGCGATTCCAGGATGAGAGGTGAGATGAGGGGCAACTTCTGGCCAGCACGTGATAGACTATTCGATCTTTATGAGTTCAACCCCGTCATCTGCAATTGCGTTATACATACCTGAACAAGGTCTGCATTGTGCCCGCAGGCAGCAAGAGCGCCTTTAATGGTGGAAACAAAGTAATCAGAACTCCAGGCTGTGTTTTCACTTCCCTTAACTGTGCCAACCGTTAACACAAATACCCCAAATCAGGTATATCTATTCAAGCTCTATCCCGCAACCTACCAATAATTCCATTTCCTGCGAATATAGAACTAATCATAGGGCAGAGGAGATTGTGAAACTATTGATCCGTTAGGGTCCATATTTGCCCTGTATAGGAATCTTTGAGGGGGATTCTTACCGGATAACTAGGAAGAGCAGGGGTTAGCGTACAGCAATTAGGACGATAAATAATTTACTTACTTCCAAGAAACGCAAGCACAAACAACTCCCAGAGGTTCATATCTCACTTCCGCCTTTTTGTAACACATCAAAGGCCAAGAGACACTCCTCCGCTCCGGCCTCAATGCCTGCTCCCCGTTGTCCAGGACCCACTTGATTTTTTCAACAACTACTAAAATCTCCCCGAGGGCAGCGTCAATACGTGTTTTTCCCGAGTCCAGACAAGCGGCGGTGATAATAGTATCCTGGTTGGCGAGAACATATCTAGAAAAGATCAGACGGCTACCCCACAACATCTAGGTATGACTACATACTTAAGAAGAGACCTCAGAACCCTCTTTCTTTCATTGAAAGGCGTCTTTGCCCATTCTTCTTGGGCCGCCGCCGACCTTGCGATAACCTTGTCAATATCCTCAGGGTACGCCGGCTTAACCCTGCCAAGTAATCGTCCTGTCGCTGGGCAGTAACATTGAATATCATAGTCCGACCCACACTGCCGAAGTCTCCATTCATCAGTAATTACACAATTCCCCGAAGTTGCAATAACTATACCCGAATAGAAGGCTCCTCAAGAACCTCGCCCTTCCATCCCTCTTTGCACTGTTCCGGGATTGGCAGCGTGTAAGAAACTGCAGAAAACTTCGATGTCCTCCAATACCGAAAAGCGAGGAACGAAAAAACAGCAGCGACGAGCGAAGCTAGCAGAGAATTCGTGGAAGGTAAAGAACTTGGTGAAACCAAACTACTATCCAGAGAAGCGAAAGAGAAATTCTCTCTACTCAATGAACACCCAACGGTAAAACCGCCGACGAGGAAATCGAAGGAAATCTTCATGGCGATAGGGTTCTATCCTTTCCCGCCGAAGCTATCACCCGACACAATTGATTGTTACAGGTCAAACTAGGGAGACGCGACTTTTCTGGTTCACGCGCGGGACGCAAGAGGCCGGGTAACGGGTGGCACAACGGCTGGGATAATACAGTACGTTCCGCAGGTGAGTTGGTTACCCTGCTCTTCTGGAGCGATGATAGCTTACTGCACGCGGGGGGATGGCGATAGCACTGAATTTGCTCCACGGCAACGTTAAGCTATCGAAAAGCTACCGGCATGGATGATGATCTAGCTCGCAGGTTAGCTGCGCTCCGGAATGAGCATGAGAATCGGTAATTATAACTCCCCACAGATTGCACCATTGCCTCCAAGTTCACTAGAAACACAATATGCTGAAAAAGTAGCTTAGCAGCTCCCGCATGCCGGCCACCACTATCCCGCGAACCTCAAATTTACCACTTAAGTTTCCTAAGGCCGAAGTGAGCGATGAACTCACAGCTCGGTTCGAAAAGATCAGGCTTGCTCCAAGCCCGGCCAAATCACCATCTGTTAAAGAATTGAAGAAAGAATATGAAGACATTCTATCTGAATCAAAGGTTGAAGCCCATGCACCAGAGCCATTTCCAAGTTGGGGCAACCACTTAATGGCGAAGCAGACACAGGAAATATTCAACGCCTTGATCTCCGACCAGGGGTTGTGGGATACTAGTGAAGATCCACACGAGGATATGGACGAAGTAGACTTTCTCCTAGTAGAAGCTACAGCCAACATACCCTCTCCCTCCAGGGCACCAAAGGACATCGATGGCGCTCAAAATACATCACCGGAGGATCCACCGGCTCTCCCTGGCTGGCCCCATTCGAATACTCTACACCCAGTAGCTGCTACGGAGGAAGAAGAGGCTAATATTTTACAAAAAATACGTGACGAGATAGATTTCGAAAAGTCAAATGGAATAGCAACATCACCTGAGCCTTCCCCACCTCCAGGGCTTGTCGAGCCAGGAGAGTCTGCCCCGGAGGCAGACGAGTCCCTTTTTAAACGGTTTAGAGCTCTAGGAGGGCTTGAGCTACCTGCGGTGCCCAGGACTGAGCCTGGACCCAAACCAAGGCCATATCCTCCGGCTGCGAAGCTCGAGGACGATGAGATCGACACTTGGTGCTGCAAGTCATCCACTTAACAGCGATATGGTGGATCTAGGTTGCTGATGTTGCAGATAGGTATATGCAACGACGATGCAGAATATAAGTGCTCTGGATGCGAAAATGATATTTATTGCGCGAGCTGTCTCCACGAGTGTAAGGCATTTTATGATTTCGCGTCGTTTCCGGAAACACTTTCTAACGCGGGCATAGCGCACACCGGACCGGATGCAGGATATGAAGAACGGAGGCACAAATGGACAAAATACACGAGACCGAAGAAGCGGCTTGCTGCAGGTTAAATCTTTGACTCCCATTGGATTATATCGCAATCGCCAAATGAATACTTCCCATACACTACGGCGCTGTGAAATCAATCAGATGGCGTTTATGGCGGTCCAAGTTATAACTATCGATTCTCATTCTTCCTCGTCATTTATACATCCACCACATTGGAAAATTATCGAGGGGGAAGGGGAGGAAAAATAAAATCTCAGAATTGGGTATTATTTAAACGCCAAGGAAGAAGATAAAGAAACCACTGTTAAAACAACGCAAGTCCCACAACGAAAAGACCAGCAGCTCTCAATATGCCAACAGTAGTCTTTGAAGCTCCGCTCGTACCGGTGGTCCCATTCCCAGCACCAGAAGTGCTTCCCTGATTACCCGAGCTTCCCGAGTTCCCCTGATTGCCCGAGCCTCCATGATCGCCCGAGTCAGATTCCGAACCCTCGAATTCGAAAGGCGAAGAGCCGACACCGGTGGAATTAACACACATTCCATTCGGTGGCCCCGCAGCGTCTTTCTTGAAGGTGATATCGGCGCACTACATATCCCCCATTAGCCACGTCATTCACATCCAGCCTGAAAATTCCTAGCTGCTGGATTCAACATACGTTGTACAAAGCGCCGCCATTGTGAGTCAACTGGATAACCTGGATACTAGCATTGGCGCCCTCCTGGATATCCAGGCCGGGTGGGATGGGAATCTTCTTGAAGCAAAAGGTCCCATTACCGGTCTGGTTGAAGGCGGGGACGAGGGTGATGTTGAGTCTCGTAACATTGTTTCCCATACCCAAGTTGACGAAAGTCTGAGCGTGGTCATGGGTCGGTGTGAAAACCAGTGCCCCTCCGTCGAGTGGCCAGGCGGTGCGGTTCGTGTCGGAGACGGACTGGTTCACACCTCCGCCTAGAGACACCACCCCCAGTCAGTGTAAAAACCAGAGGACCTCCTCCCGGTGATAGTGCGCAGGATGAACATACACGGGTAATTCCATTGAGTAGGATAACTGTCCCCGCGCCAGTATGGATAAGTAAGAGCGTAATGGGCAGAAACGGTCGAGACCAAGATAGCGGCGGTGAGGAAGGAGAGGAATTGCATTGTGATTGTCGGAGGCTGACCGCTAGATTATTCCGTACGTGTGTTGATTAGCAAGAACGCGGAGAATAGGAGTTGACTAGCTAGGAAATGCAAGAACCCCGTTGGCCGTGAAGTGGAGACCTACGGGGGGGGTACGTTCGACACTTAAGTACTTGTTCAGGACGAAGTGTATCCTTTTTTGCACATGAATTGAAAAATTTCACAATCTTGTTTTCCAGCCCCATACGGTATCCCAGGGTGCCGTGGGATGGGGTACGGGTATGTGCACAGTGGGGGGGGGGGGGTACAGTACCGGTAAGTTGGAGGCGGGGAAACTTGCTCAATCCAACTTATGGCTTTGACTAGTGTGCACTTGTCATTTACCGGTACCCCACGGAGGAAAGTCTCTCTCAGGAGGAGGAAGAGCAAAAAGCAACTTTGGCTGCTCGTATCGTGTAGTCTTGTTGGAGTTCATCTTTGTAAACAGCAATTGCAGGTTAAGTTAGTACCCGACGCTGCAGCAATATTCGTAATTGTTATGTACAGCACGGTTATTATTCCAAGAAGCAGTGAGGTACGGCGCAGTACTGTACTCCCAACATCCAGGTCAAGTTAACTGTCCCCGATAATGATATGACGATATCATATAAAAAACAGTCAACCCCTAAAGAAGGCCGCAATGCCCCTCCCGCTCCCTCAATCTCCTCTAACCTAGCCCCCCCCCAAATAAACGAGACCCTCGTTGCACGAATATCGTGCTCAGCTAAAAAAACCTTGTACAACCCTCCCCGCCAAGACCATGAGCATAAATGAGCAAGTTTTCCAGACGAGATGGTCAGTTAACGAACGGTGCTCCACCCCATTGGATCACTGCCCCGGGGCCTTGCGCTAGTTTCCTCCCATAACAATCGCGGCTCTACATGTAGCTTAACCTTATCCGGGGGCACGGTAGTATGGCATAAGCGAGAAGGTCATATTTTACTTCTTTGCGCCGCTTCATTGGTTGTCACTCGGGGCGGTAGCATGAGGGGGTTTTTCTTTGCTTTTTGCTACCATAGAGTTGCCCGAGTACCGGTATTGCACTTGTACCGGAACGGTAGAATTACTGTACATCGTAAGGATGAAGCCGGCGGCTTACCTACCGGTAGGGGAGGGGGTTTACCCCCACACCCCTCTGCCCTGGAAGGACAAGACCTGGAGAATCAGCCCGGCGCAACGGGTTATCCGGAATGGCGAGTCGAGTTTTTCTACGGAAAATTTTTGGACTCACGGGGTTTCGTACGGGACAGAGAGATCCGGGACAGTGGGGTTTAGGTGTACTTTATTCATATCATGCCCTCATGCCTACCCCCCCCCCGCGAGAAACCTCTGGGAGGGGGGGTCGTGTTGCGCTAGTGCAATATGAGAGAGGGTACGAGCATGTTATTAACTCATGCAAGGAGAAAGGCTGTTTTCGGATTCCAGGTAAGGTACCCAGATCCAGGTGGTATTCCACGTTATTTTGTGATTGAGGACACGGCCAGTGTGCCGTACAGTACTGGTATTATACTCGAGTATCATACCGGTATGGGGTTCGCACTAGCACGCAGTGATTGGAGAAGGGGAGCAGCGCCACAGTGCCACCGGTGTCATTACATGAATTCATCCTAATTGCTGCAGATTGGAGGCATCTAGCCCTGGGGCTGAGAAATGTACGAGGGGGTATGGGTAAGTCTGGCCAACGTGGCGGTGCATGTGGCAGCACACTTACCCCATGATTGATCCTGTATATACAATATAACTAGTAACTGAGTGGTTTTCATTTCCGAGTCATTGATATGCTTCAACCTGAGTAGTATTGGGCAATTCTCGCGATAGTGTGTTATGGTCAAATAACTACGTCAACCACTCTTCCCGGACAGAGCCATCGCCACATGCACCGCCACGTTCGCTAGACTTACCCTTGCCCTCTCGTACTGTCAGTCATTAGAAGTGTTCTTGAAATGTGACTTGGCTTACTAAGCTACCTTGCTAAAAAAAAAGTTAAAAAAGGGGACAACTGATCCACTCCACTGGACTTAGAGTACTCGCAACCATGATCACAACCATTTTTTTTTTTTATATCATATATTCTTATTTTTAGGGTACAAGAACTTGCATGCAGTAACTAAGACTATGGCATAAAAATAAACCCGTAAATCAAAACGCTGACAAAAGAAATTACCAAAACTATCCCAGTAGCCGACCCCATCCCTGATATGCAGGTAACTGCAAATAATGCACGCAACCAGAGCGTGACTAACAAAGTTGGAAAGACAAACTCCTGGGCCAGCGGCCACACCAACCCATAGAATGTCAAGCTAGAAAATATAAAGTGCCCAAGTGGGCCGCGAAACCCATGGGAAACCGGCCCTAGGCTGAGGGGGCAGTATGGTGCCAGCTGGTAGTGGTAGCCATAAACGACCGGAAGGTGGTGGTAGCAGTAAGGTGCCAGCTCGTATAGGGTAGCAGAAGGGTGCCAGCCAGGCAGTAGGGTGCTAGCCACGCAGCAGTAGGGTGCACGCCGACTGACGGAGGAGGGAGAAGGAAGCAAACAGAAGACCGGGCCGCGAGGGCCCCCGAGACGATACGGCTGAGAAGCTGCGAGCCCAGGATCACAAAGGCCGGTATGGCAATCGATAACCCAGACGACCACGACCAGGCTGACCGAGGCGAGGGACCTCTCTAGCAGTCGGCGCGAGCGACCGTAGAAAACCTAAGCGAGATGCAAAGGTAGACCAAAGGGAGGGGAGGTAAAGACTGTGTGGGCCCAAGAGGTAAGGGGGGCGGCCCAGTACCCCAAAAGGGGGGTGGGGGAGGGCAGCCCCCGGGGGGGGCAGAGGGGGGGTGGAGTCACGATGATTTCTCGTGGTGTTGAGATTTCAATCGCGAGGAAAATAGCGGAGAGGGTCGATGCCATGATCACAACCATGATCACAACCATTTATACCTTTGGCTATCCACAATTCATTGACTTGCAAGTCCTTTGAGCTATGGTTTACCAGTCTGGTTATTCAAGGTCGTTATCAAAAAAAAAAGCATACTCCAAAAACCTTAACAAAAGAAATAACTAATGTTAAAAAAGCCATGATAATGATTGCCTTTTTCTACTGCCTCCAGAACATTACCCTTGTTACTCAAACTATTGGATGACTATGGACAACAGTTAAGAGCTTTCTTATCCAAGCATATGAGCCTCAGTTAGTAGAAAATATTCCTTACTACCCTGGTTGTACACCCCTTCTGAGCAGTCTGCGGCATTGCACAATTGTTCAGGCAGTCAAATTTAACCAGAAAATGACCAGATCTGATTTTATAAATAAATATGTACCAGGTGTTTCTCTTACAACTAGTAATAAACTCTTCCTTATTAGCTACTCCTGAATGATAGAATATGATTGACGAATAAATCTAGATAAACTTTATGGTAGATAGAGTACAACTAATAGAGAACAATATTAGAAATTGACTTGCAAAATCATAACCTAAGCTCAACCCTAAGTATATGAGTAAGAGGTTGAAGTAGGCTACAGTATATAAGGAGCAGACAGTTGAGGATTTTAAAGAAGTTATTTGGAGTAATGAGTATGTAACGGGCATGGTCTGAGGGTCGGGTAGCCCAAGGCACACCATGATCAGGACAGGTAGGATTCTGGGGACGAGGTCTAGGTGCGGGGGTATAACCGAAGCGAGTTGTATGAGGTTCAGGATTCAGGAGTTCAGGGTCAGGGTTCAGGGGTTCAAGAGGACGCTAGATG